TTATCAGCCTCTGCTTTTCAGTGATATAACTTCTGTGCAAAATTTCCCCCATGCTTCTAGGTCTCTAGTGAGTATGAATATACCTAAATCTCTTCTTGCTCTGACCATTGATTGTAGCCCCATGCCCACTGATTTTTCCATTTGGGGTTTCTAATTTCCAATTCCAGACCTAACCTACCACCTTCCTCCTCTGAACTCCCCCTTCCCTGTTGTGACTGCACCATTGTTTTCTCTTTTAGTCTCAAAACTTTAGTGGTGGTAAATCACCACTTCTTTTATCTCCTTACCATCACACTTGCTCTCTCTCCCACTAGGATCACCACATTTTACCCAGCTCCTTTGCATTTTCTTTATCTCAGTCATTTCCTTCCATCTCTACATTTTGACTTCTAAGAACGCAACTGGTATTTTGAGGCTGATTCCACGAGCATGTAACTTTAAGGCAAATTATGTGACCTGTCAAAGCCTCAGTTAATTCATCTGTAAAGTGAGATAATATTTAAAGTATTGTGAAGATTAACTGAAATAAGATTTAATTTCAGTTGTAAAACCTAAACTATAAATGCTCAGTAAATATTTGTGGAATTAGTAAATATATATATGTATTTGGCTTCTAGTCCCTACTTTACTGTTCTACATTCAGTACTAACTACATTCAGTACACACACACACACACATATATATATATATATATTTTTTTTTAGACAGAGTTTCTCTCTTGTTTCCCAAGCTGGAGTACAATGGCGCCATCTTGGCTCACTGCAACCTCCACCTCCTGGGTTCAAGCAATTCTTCTGCCTCAGCCTCCCAAGTAGCTGGGACTACAGGTGTGCATCACTACACCCGGCTAACTTTTTGGTATTTTTAATAGAGATGGGATTTCACCGTGTTGGCCAGGCTAGTCTCGAACTCCTGACCTCAGGTGATCCACCCGCCTCGGCCTCCCAAAGTGCTGGGATTACAGGTGTGAGCTACCACGCCCGTCCTGAATTAGTAGTGTTTTTGTTTTTGTTTTTGTTTTGAGGCAAAGTTTCGCTCTTGTCCCCCAGTCTGGAGTGCAATGGCATGATCTCGGCTCACTGCAACCTCTGCCTCCCAGGTTCAAACAATTCTCCTGCTTCAGCCTCCTGAGTAACTGGGATTACAGGCGCGTACCACCACACCCAGCTAATTTTTTGTATTTTAAGTAGAGACGGGGTTTCACCATGGCCAGGCTGGTCTTGAACTTCTGACCTCAGGTGATCTGCCCTCCTCGGCCTCTCAGAGTGCTGGGATTACAGGCATGAGCCACTGCGCCGGCCTTTTTTTTTTTTTTTTTTGAGATGGAGTCTTGCTCTGTCACCCAGGCTGGACTGCAGTGGCACAATCTTGGCTCACTGCAACCTCCACATCCTGGGTTCAAGCAACTGAATTAGTAAATATTAATTCCCTTCTCCTTATAACCATATGAGTTTGAGAAATTTTTGTTCTTAACTGTGGTAAACTAGAAAAGATTAGATGTTAATACTTGCAAGATTTTTTAAATGTTTGTTAGTGTTTCTTTGCTCTATGATCACATCAAATTCTAAGTATAGAAAACTTTTTGTTTTGGTCTATTTTTGTTTATAACAGCTGTAACGAGATATAATTCACATACCATAAAATTTGTCCTTAAAGGCTGGGTGCAGTGGCTCACACCTGTAATCCCAGCACTTTGGGAGCCTGAGGTGGGTGGATCACGAGGTCAGGAGTTTGAGACCAGCCTGGCCAACATAGTGAAACCCGTTCTCTACTAAAAATACAAAAATGTTAGCTGAGCGTGGTGGTGGGCACCTGTAATCCCAGCTACTTAGGAGGCTGAGACAGGAGAATCACTTGAACCCAGGAGGCGGAGGTTGCAGTGAGCTGAGATCACGTTACTGCACTCCAGTCCAGGCGACAGTTCGAGACTCCGTCTCAAAAACGAAAAAAAAATTTATCCTTAAAAGTATACAACTGAGTGGTTTTTAGTATAGTCAGAGTTTTGCAACTATTACTAGTATCTATTTTTATTTATTTTTATTTATTTATTTTTTGAGATGGAGTCTCGCTCTTGTTTCCCAGACTGCAGTGCATGGTGCAGTCTCGGCTCACTGCAACCTCCACCTCCCGGGTTCAAGCGATTCTCCTGCCTCACCCTCCCAAGTAGCTGGGATTACAGGCATGCATCACTACACCCGGCTAATTTTGTATTTTTAGTAGAGACGGGGTTTCTCCATTTTGGTCAGGCTGGTCTCAAACTCCCGACCTCAGGTGACCCGCCCGCCTCAGCCTCCCAAAGTGCTGGGATTACAGGCATGAGCCACTGCACCTGGCTACTTGTATCTAATTTTATAACTCCATTTTCATTACTCTGAAAAGAAACTCCATACCCATTAGTAATCACTCCCCGTTTCTCCCTCTCCACAACCTGTAATCTGTTTTCTGTCTCTATGGATTGGCCTGTTCTGGACATTTCATATAAATGGAATCATATATGACCTTTCGTATCTGGCCTCTTTGACTTAGCAGACTGTTTTCAAGGCTGAAGCATATATCAGAACTTCATTACATTTCAAGGCCGATATTCCATTTTATGGATAGAGACAACTTACCGTTTATCCATTCATCACTTGGTAGACATTTGGATTGTTTCCACTTTTTGGCTATTATTAATAATGCTGCTGTGAACATTTGAAAGTTTTTATTGTGGACATATGTTTTCACTTCTCTTGTATATATGCCTAGGAGTGGAATTAGCATAGACTTTAGTTGATAAGGCAAGGAATGAAATGATATGAGAACTAAAGTTTCTTATTGGGGGGATTTGGGATGTTCCCTTCTATGTTAGTTCCATAAGATGGAAATTCTTTGCTCTGGACCTCACAGAGCACTGTACCTCCCTGAGGTGCTTGGAACATCAGAGAAATTAACAGAAAAGCTAGAGCCTCCAATCAGAAAAGATCACAAACAACAGAAATGCCCCCACATAATAAAGAGTGCTTGTATTAGGATAGAGTAGCAAAATCACCCCCACATCACAGTGGTTTATTCTGACCAAAGCATTTATTTTCATTCCATTTATATAGGAGGTGGCATTGTAGAAAATAAAAACTTTCTCGAAGAGATATGAATTAAAGAAAAGTTAGAGTAAGGTGAATACTTGTTTAAAAGTACCTTTAGAGTGAGGGTAAGCCCCCTTCCCAACCCAAAATGAACTGAATGAGAGGGAGAGAAAAAGAGGTCCAGAGCAGTTTGTGGAGTGATGTTTCCATCTGTAATGCCACTTAGCTCAGGAGCAGGCTTCAGATACTGCCTTTATCGTTACAGAAAGCCATGGGAAGGAAAATGTCTGAGGTAGAGCTCAGCACTTCACATCATAAGGCTAGTCACTCAGAGGTCACTAATCACTCTCCCTTTTCTTGTTTTTCAGTGAACGAGATAATTGGGAGAGACATGTCCCAGATTTCTGTTTCCCAAGGAGCAGGGGTGAGCAGGCAGGCTCCCCTCCCGAGTCCTGAGTCCCTGGATTTAGGAAGATCTGATGGACTCTAACAGTGCTCACTGCAGCCTTGTGTCCACCACCAACTTCTCAGCATGTTTCTCTCCTTGGACCTTGGGTTTCCAACTCTGCAGCCTTCAGGTCTGGCACCAGGAGTGGGACTCACCATTTGTGGGGAAAGCAGCGTTCCTCCACCTCAGGCCTTGGGTAGATTTTGTAAAAGAACAGGAGCAGCATAGGCTGTTTGAGCTTTGGAGAAACGAGCTTTGCTTTTTATATTTAACTAGGATACTTTTACGTGATGGGTGCTTTGAGTGTGAATGCAGCAGGCTCTTGTTTCCGAGGTGCTGCTTTTGCAGGTCACCTGGCTACTTAAGAGAGGATTGGTGATTTGTACTGCTTTATGGTCATTTGAAGGGCCCTTTAGTTTTTATGATAAATTTTTAAAATAGGAACTTTTGATAAGACCTTCCAGAAGCAAAAAAAAAAAAAAAAAAGAAGAAAAAGAAAAAAATCCCAAGCCCACACCTATGCCTCAGAAAGTCAGCATGTGTCCTAAAGATTTTCATAGATTTATAGGAAATAAAGCCAAATGTAGCTCATACCTCTTTATAAAACTAAACTGTTGTTAGATAAAATGAGAAGAGACCATTCCATCATTGAAGTGTTGGAATATAAAAAGACATTCCAGAGCATAGCCTTTTGGTAACTTTCTAGGTAATCTTGCAATCTCTCCATACTGGCTCCATGTTGAAATTGCTTTTTCCCTCAGGACCCTGGGTTACATGGCTACATTTAAGGTGACTCTGAATGGTGGGGTTTTAGCTTGGTCACTTTCATTTCTTGCCATGATAAAAACTAGTAAGCTGTTCAGTGCTCTTTCTATTTGTGTCATCTGGTCCTAGAACCTTTTCCAAACAGGAGCATCTGCCTTTGGCTGTTCTGTGACCTTTGAAGTCAGTCTCACGGTGGTTTAGGCAGCTTCGCAGTTCTAACTCTTCTCTAGAGGCCAGGCTGTGTGCAGAGCTAAAGCACAGGTGAGCTGTACATCAGCATGGGCAGAGAAAATAGAGGACTCCAGATGTGAAGGTTTTAAGAGTCACACTAGCATGGAAGGCTTATCTGCCATTCTGTTTATAGCCCAAAATGATTCTGACCTACCCTGTCCTGTCTGTATGATCTAAAAACCAGCCTTTTCCCCAGAAGGCTCTGAGCACATCCAGAAGTGATAACCTGACCCTCCACACCAAAGACACCCTGGTGCTGCTGCTGGTGAGACTGGTGTCCAAGGCAGGGCCCAGCAGAAACTGCAGCCTGCTGTCTACCAAAGGAGGTACCCAAGTTGGGTACTTTAAAAAAAAAAACCTGCCCTTACCCCTCTCCCTAATGGGATCTTTTACCTGTTCCTGGGCCTATTACAGAGCCTCTGAAGTTTGCAGTATGCTTTCAAATGAAATAATATACTTCCACTGATTCAGGAAGCAGATTTTTTGAGTGCCTATATGTGAGACAGTGTGCTGGTTGAAGGCCTGATGCTGTTATTCCAGGAGACTGCAGGCCCTTGATGCCAGGACTCTCTCTACTGAGGCCAATTCAGGCCTGGGAAAGGGAGCTGGCCTATTGCCCACCACCTGTTGTCAGTAGGGTTGGAGCTGTTGACTCAGGATGAGGAAGTATGGTCTTTAAAAAAAAAACAAAAATATATTTCAGATTTCTCCCCTAAAGTTAGAGAAAAAGGTCTGTCCTTCAGCAGATCACTGTGGCCCCTCCTGGAGCTGGGTGGTTTCAAATTTTCTTGAAAAGTGAGTTGTGTCACAGAATGTGGATAGTGAGATTTGCTTCTGGGCCTGTGGTTGGAAGCCCACAGCTTCCTTTGGAGGGGCAAGAAGTTGGCCTCTCGATTGACATTCCAGAGAAATGGCCAGACTTGCCTCTACCCTTTTGCCCCTGGTGTAGCTGCCTCACATGGGATTATTGCAAGAGTTCCCCTTGCAATACCCTTTGGGGGCTGCTTTGCTGCCCTCAAGAATTAAAAGCCTCTATGATCCAGAGTTGCTATGCACCAAATTTTGATGCCTTCTAAATACCTTGATGCCTGTAGCACTAGAAATGCTTTCCTATTTAAAATAAACATTAAATTTTAAAATAGAGCTTTGTATATTATGTAAGCATTTTTATATCAGCTTTGTAAAAGCTTTGGTGTTAAGAGTCAATATTTTTTGGCTTTGTAGATAAAGACTTAAATTTTTGTGCAACTTAGTGGTGTTAAAGCACACATCCATTGGACTATGCAAATCAATTTATAGTAGCAGCACTGAGCAACTGGGCACGTGCTAGTATGCACCCCCTCCTACTCTAACTGTGCTAGCTCTTGGGTTGAGGAATGGAATGAGTAGCCTTCTGCTTACTGGAGATGCACAGAGAAACATGGCTGAAAACAGCTTTAAAAGGAACATGTCTTCGGGTTCATGTGTGGTGCTGCTGCCCAGGTGTAAACTATCCCCACCCAGGGCCAGCCATTATCACCAGACCTCTTCTGGGCCTGGCTGTGAAGCCTTGTCTTTGGTATTCAGAATGGATCTTTAAGGCTCAGATGGGCTCAAATTGAAACCTTGTGATTTATAAAATGGATGTTTAGTAAAGGAACTGGTTCTCAGTTATGTTTACAGCACTTGGAATTGTGTGTTCTTGTACATTTTGTATTTTAAAACCTTTTATGGGAGTGCGGTGCTCCTTACACAAATACAAAGGGAAGAAGAGCCAGCAGTTGAGGCTCCTCAGTTTTAGTGCTGAAATAATAAACAATGACAGGTCAACAGTCTCCTTAATCTGTCTGAGTGTTCCTCTGCCTGGGGTTGGTGTGGAACTCCTCACTTTGGGGCAAAGTTAAGGGTCCTGTGGCTTTTAAAAAGTCCATTTGGTTAATAACTTTTCATTTAAGGAAGAGAAAATCGAGTTCCAAATTGCTTCCGAGGCTTCAGTTCTGTACCATTTAATGCGTGCAAAGGACATTCCACAGTGTCTGCTGGGTTCAGGGCAACGGGCTTTCCGAAGGCATACAAGAAAAGTTGGCAAAGTCCCCTTTAAAAGTCAAGCCTGAGTTTTAGTGTGGGGGCCTCCTGCCCCCTAATGTCTTCTGGTGATACTGCAGCACAGTCCATCAAAATAGATCGTGGTTTTGCCATCTGTTACTCCTTATGCCCACCTGGAGAGGGGCTAGCATCTTTAGGTGGGACCATCCCTGGCACAACATGGTCTCTGAGGTCCAGATATTCTGAGGGTAGGGCTGGCTCTCTCTGCCTCCTTATCCCCCACCAGAGGGACAGGGGGAGGTGGAACATTGGGATCTTTACTCAGAGGCTCAGATGGACCCTTGATTCTCCCAGGAATCATACATTGAAGGTACCAGAGCTTCCATTTTAAAAAAGAAAGCAAGTCTGCCGTGGACCTATCAGCCCCACCATATCTGTTGGCATGGGCCACAGCCAGGACACACTAAAGGGCTCTCCAGGTGCCAGTCAAGATGCCTGGCTCAGGCCATCAGGAGCCGGTTAGCCCCATTCCACCCCTAGCCCTGCATGCAGGGTTCAGCCATTGTCTTTGGGGGAAACAGGCAGAAGAATAAGTGGAGGGTGGGGCTTGGGCTCCTCTAGGTACCTTCTGAGAGCTTTGACAAGCCAGAAAGAAGCTACCAGGTTGAGGGTGCTGGTCTTCTGGATGCAGGAGAGACATGTTCACTGAGGATATCAGCTGGCTCTTACCTCCTGGCTTTCTCTCCTACAAACACACCCATTCCTTGGGGGCTTGTAACACAGTGCGAGGTGGGTCACCAACAGGCATCAGACTGGTGTAGTCATCAGCAGGTAGCTACAGAAGGGATGTAGATTTAGGGCAAAGAGCTCAGCCAGACCCGCCAGGCCCTCCAGCCACACAATCTCACCTGGTAGGCCTGGAAGACGCTAAGCAGATCCTTCATACCAGCTGTGTATGGGATACCCTGCATGCGGACCAAAGCTCCTGGCTGGGACAACACTGAGGTGGGAGCAGAGGCCAGGGCAGCAGTGGGTGTGGTGAGGTAGCCCACAGTGGTGGGGGAGACTGGGGGGCTAGGTTGGGAGAGACAAGGTTTAGTCATGCATGCCACATGTGGCCTAGACCGAGTCCTGTTTCCCTCCTCCCTTGCTTCTGCCTTGTGATTAGTTCAATTCCTCCTCCCTGAAGCCCCAGCTTCTACAGAGTCATCTCCGATCTGTTTTGTAGATGGCGTTAGCCAGCTCCCACCTTACTCCCTTGTCATCTAGTCCAAAAAGGGGATCGTGACCCTTCCCCAGATTGGCACAGGGAGCGGGACTGTGGTGTTCTCTTAGCTGCAGGGTACCTTGGGTAGTAGGCTGTGTAGTTCAGGTAGAGTTGAGTGGCTGGCCCTGGATAGTAGGCAACAGGGGTGGGGGCAGCAGGTACCCTGGCAGCTGGGAGCAGTGCTGAAGAGGGGTATAGAGCTGCCGTCTCCGTGGGAATGAGTGTTGGGGTGGCTTGGAAGGTGGCGTAGGTAGGTGGTGAGAGGCCTAGAGACAGAAGGAGGAAGTGCATGTGCACGGAGCCTAGCACTGCCCTGGGTGGGGCAGCCAGAAAGGAGTTCCCGCTATACAAAGTAGTAGGGGCTTACAACAGCCTGACTCCCACAGGCCTCCTTCTTCCCTAGCCCCTAGGGCACTCACAGGGCAGCTTGCAGGGCGGAGGGGACATGCCACTGCGGCCCAAGGTGCCCCCCATCAGCACACGGCTCATCTCCTCTGTGGAACAGGGGACCACCTCCACGTAGCGTTCCTTCATCACCTTCTTATGGCAACGCTGAGCAGTAGCTAGGGCTCGCTCTGCTGATGTCATCTGGATGAAGGCATCGCCCGATGGCCGGCCCTGTGCACACCATCTTGTGAGCAGTTTGTCATGTGTAAGAGTACCTTACCCCTAACACACACCCCTTCCTATTGATGTGTTCCCCCTACCAAGCAGTGGCCTCACCTGCTGGTTGAGCACCATGTGCACACCATGGGGCCGGATGTCAGCTGCTGCCTCCCCCAGAAAGCTCAGGATGTCTTCAATGGTGGCTGTGTAGGGCAGGCCTCGGAGGCGTACACAGTCCCTCCCAGTCCCAGGTGCCAGTGGGAAGGGGATGGGCAGCAGTGGGGCAGTCAGTGTGGGAAGGAGTGGGCCAGATGCATAGCGGTTCAAGACCTAGTAAGGAAGGCAGCAACAGGCTGGTCATGCCAAGTAGGGTGGGGGCACAGAGGGCCACCCTGGAGTAACAGTACTTCTAGGGGTGGAAAGCCCTGGGTGCTCACCTGCTGCACCTCGGCTGCAGTGCTCCGGAAGAGTTCAATGTATCGCTTACCCAGCATGCCCTTGTGCCTGCGCAGTGCAGCCTGTGCCAGCTCCTCACAAGCAAAGAGGGCGAAGGCATCACCAGTCGGCCGGCCGTCAGGGTGGCGCACAAAGAGCAGCCCCTCAGCACCCCCAGTCACTGGGCACTCTGGCCCCAGGAAGCCTAGCACATCCATTGGCCCAGCCGAGAAGGGCAGTCCCCGCAGCCGCAGGATCACTTGGTCTTCCCGTGACAAGAAACGAGCCACCTCTAGTGATGTGCCTGTGTGGGGGACATGGGAGTCACCTGCTGACTTCACTCGTGCCCCTTCAGACACTCACCCATGCAGGGGAGCAGGCAGGCAAGGGGGTGGTGGGGAAGTGAGATATGGATCAAGGACCAGGGGAGCCAGGCCCTGTTTGGGGTATACTCACCCCCTGCGATCTTTACAAACTCCTCCCCTGTCGCCTTATACACCTGTGGGTACAGAGAGCAGCAGCCCGTGGGTCTCAGGCCTGGCTCAGATTGGCCCTGCTCCACTCCCAGCCCAAAGCCCCACCTCAATATAGCGGACGCCCATGTGATGCTTGTGTCTCTGCAGCGCTAGGTCCCGCTGCTCGCTGTCCACAAAGCGGATGAGGGCCTCACCATTTCTGCGGCCCTGGGCGTTGAGGCAGAGTGCTACACCACCCCTGTGGAGCCAGTGCTGTTAGTGCCTCCTGGGTAGGCCTGTCCAGTTGGGCCCACCCACCCCACCACACCCACCTGGCCACGTTGAGCCCTTTGAAGAATCGAGCCACGTCCTGGTCTGATGACTGCCAGGGCAACCCACGAGCCCGTACCACAGTCTCACTGTCCACCACATCTGCCTTGCTGCTGTAGGGGCAGGGCACATTGCTGTCAGAGTTATCCAGCTGTTGTCACCCCCCAGTCCCTGCTCCCACACTCACCAAGGGCCCGTCTCATATTTCTGCTTTATCACCTCAGGCTTCGAAAACAATTGACCTGAGAAAAGATGGTGTGGGGGTCAGCAGGGTCTGCTGGAGAGGGGTCTCCCCACCAAGTTCTGCAAAAAGAGGACAGTTGAGGGAGATGAAGAAATGACAGGCTGAGCGCAGTGGCTCAGGCCTATAATCCCAGCACTTTGGGAGGTCAAGGTGGGTGGATCATTTGCGGTCAGGAGTTCGAGACCAGCCTGGCCAACACGGTGAAACCCAGTCTCGACTAAAAATACAAAAATTAGCCAGGCGTGGTGGCGAGCACCTGTAATCCCAGCTACTCTGGAGGCTGAGGCAGGAGAATAGCTTGAACTCGGAAAGTGGAGGTTGCAGTGAGCTGAGTTTGCACCACTGCACTCTAGCCTAGGCTACAGAGCAAGGCTCTGTCACAAAGAAAAAGAAGAAATGACAAAGAGGCTTCCCCTGTGGTCTCTTAGAGAAGGTCACAGGGGGGAGGAGTAATAGGCCGGCATTCGTTATCCCTGAGAACAGGTGACAGGCAGTGAGGGAAAACTTACTGCTGGACTCTTTGAGTAGATCGAGGATAACAGCTACCATTGTCTTCACTTCCCAGACCCCAAAGTCATCCTCTGTGGCATCTGTCTCCAGTCCTAAATCTATGGGCAGAGAAGTGACAGTGAAGACAGCGTAAGCACGAATCCTGTTTACCCCTGGGCCCAACTCCCCTCCATAGACACATGCTGGAGACCAGCATATACATCTGTTTTGGCCCAGTTCACGTGTGCACTTACAGATCCCCAGTCCAGACATAAGACACATACCCACATTCCAAACTCATCCTAGCACAGACACACAGACACAGGTACACTCAGGGATTTAGCAGATGATGCAGACTTGCATGTGTCCATATTACCCACCCACCAGCATGCGCATACTCAGATACATGCACCCACAGTGGCTTGTCCACCCTAACCCTTCTGGATCACAGATACCCTGTGCCATGGTGGCCACAGTGAGGTCCCTGGCAGGGCAGGTACTTGGATGTTGCATATGGAACTCTCTTCGGAGGTCGTAGAAGGAGAAGAATGTGTCAGGGAGCACCAGGTTCTAGGGGCACATAGGATTGGGGATGAGTGCCCTGCCCACCCTCAGGACAACAGGGGTCCTGGGACCCTTACTGACCCTGCCCCCCCTGCCCGGTTTTCCTTCAGGGGCATACCTTCCTGGAGGCCTCAGGGTGCAGGACCTGTCGCAATAGCTGCTGCCCATCAGTGCAGAGCATGTACGGGCCTCCGCCCAGCAGAGCCACATCCCCATTCACCAGCTGTGAGAACTGGGGATAGGGAGTGGGGAGAGAGAAACACACAGATTCACAGCTGGGCAGGCAGGAAGTGAGGGTAGGAGGAGGAAGGAGGCAGGCTGCAAAGCTGGTTCAGTCAGATGTTCAACCCTATCCTGCCTGGGAAGAAGAGGCCACACCTGTTGAGCCTAGCCCTATGTCCCTTCCCCTCACCCCCCAACCTTGTTCCAGTCCACTGTCACCTCCTCCAGGCCAAATGAGGGCAATCACACATAACCCAAGCCCTCAACACACACACTCCAGGAGTTTGGAGTGGGGCCAGAGCAAACACCTGGAGTGGGACAAACAGGTGGGAAGAGGCGGAGCAAAGCAGGTTAAACCTGTCTCTGACCAGGCACCACCCTCAGACAGGTGGGGGAGGCCCAGTCCTGCCTGAGGCCCAGAAGGCTCATGGTCAATGGCAGCCCCGCCTCCAGGTCTGACCAACCGAGGGGCAGAGAAACTCCAAGGACAGAGCTCTACACTTGGACATCAGGGGCAGCATGAGCTTTGACCCACACCCTATCGACCGGCTGGCACTGAGCTGTTTGCTCATAGAGGGGGTGGCACTCCTGAGGCTGCCCAGCCCTCCCCCAGCCTCCATCCTGGCTGGAGAAGTATAAGCACTAATCACTGACCCACGGACCCTCCCTGCCAATTCTGTGAAACTTTACAACCTTAGGCTGACAGAGCAAGGCAACCCAGCTCTCCTCCAGCAAACTCCCCAAGTGAAGGGCCCAGAGCCCTTCTGGAACAGACAAGAATCATCATCGTGGTGCCTCCTCATCAGGAACCACAAGAGTTGTTGGAAGATGAAAGAATGTGTGCGTATAAAGGACTTAGACTATTACACTCAAGAGTCAGACACAGAGTGAGCGACGTAGTGAAGATAAGGAAAAGAAAACAGCAATGGAAACCACCTCCCACTTCAGCTAGGGCAGGAAGCACCCCAGGCCTTTGCACTCAGCAGGCAGATAGTCCCCCAGGCCAGGCCGGGACAGCGCCCACGCCTGGCCAGCCGGCCGGGACAGGCCTAGACGAGCAGTTTACACCTGGCGGCGTCTACCTCTAGGGCCGACACCGCCCTACGCCTCCACTCCAGCGGCTCCCAAGCGGGCCGAAGACGCGGGCGGCAAGGACTGGTGACCTATATGGGCCCCTCGACCCTTTTCGCTTCCGATCTGCGGCTCAGGGAGACCTGACCCAGCAGGTCTCCCAAAGGCGTCTCGGCCTTGCTCCCCGGGCGGGAACTGGGGATGGATCCCAAAGCCTGCGTCCCGATCCCTTCGGTAGGAGTAGGTTCCTGCAATGGTTGAAAAGTAAGGCGCCCAGGGGAATGGCCGGCACGGGCAGATGAAAGGGACACGCACACGCGAGAGTCGCTCAAAGTTTCAAACAAGACCCCGTCCTGCCGCCCGGGCCGGTTGGTTGCGGCACGCCAGGCCTAGCCTCCGGCAGCCTCTCCTGTCCAGAAATCTCCTCACGGCCAGGCCGTGCCGCCACCCACCCCGGCGCTCACCTGCTGCAGCACCTTGTCCAGCGGCTCTGCCCGCGCCAGGCTGTCGGCGCTCAGGCCGCTAGCCTCGCGGCATTGCGTACTCAGTGCGGCCGCCTCGGCGCGAACCAGAGATTTGTGCAGCGTCCCCACCTGTGAGCGGCGGGGAAAACCGATCAGCCGCGCCCCTCGACCCCGGAAGCTCCCTGGGGACCTCACCGCCTCCTTTCCACCCTACCTGGCGGCTCCGCGGCTCAACCACTTGCCAGACTAGGAGGATTAAGTCGGTCTCATCCGAGCCCAGGTCCCGTCCCAGCGCACCCGCCGTAGCCCCGAACAGGACGACCAGTGATCCGGGACAGGGGCAGGGGTCTGCGGCGGGGTCGGCCCCAGGGTCAGGGCCTGGGGGCGGGGGCGGCGGCGGAGTCATGGCCGCAGAGGAAGGCGGCGCTCGGCCAGACACACGCGGACCGACGAGGCGCACGCAGGCACCGACCGACGGCAGACGCGGATCAGCTTGGGCGGGACACCGTGTGTCGGGGGCGGCACCTGCGGCCCGGCTGGCTCAGTGGGCGCTGCCGAGACCCGCCCGTGGCGCCCCGCGGGGCGGGGCGGCTACCGGCCCAAGCCGTCTCCAGGCTAGTTACCTGCCTGCCCCGCCTGCCACGTGACCGGGGCGGCCCCGGGAACCTTGTGGGAGGGCCGCCACAACCCGGCCCAGGACGCAAGAACTCATAATCCCCGTCTGGGTGCACGCTCAGGATTCGGATTCCTACTTCTAGGGCTGGTCCTGCCTGATTCTTGGGGCTAACCCGTTCTTCGCTCTCCCCCCACTCTTCCCCGGGGGCCGTCAGGCCTCTGCAAAGGACCATGCAAGAGGCCTTCTCTACTCCGAGAGAGTCACACAGGACCTATGGAAGGCGCCAGGAGGCAGTCTAGGGGCTGTGGGGGTCACCACGGCAGGTCTGGGGTTGATGGAAGTCAAAGGGTCAAGGGGGCGGTGAGAGTTGCCGGGTATCACCCTGTGGGGGGATCACCAGAAGTCAGCTGGGAAAGGGGAGGGCGGCGGGAACATAAGGGTTGTTAGAGCTGTGGGGTGGTCACCAGGGATCACAGGTAAGGGTTTGTCCATGCAGACGCTAGGGCCGAGCGGTAGCCTGGCACTGAGAAGTGCCAGAGCGCGGTCGTTGTGGGCTGGAAGTGAGCAGGCCTCAATGCTGGGGAAAGGAACCCCCCCAACCCCAGAAAGCTGCACCCTAGACAAGGCCGAGAGGGGTAGAAGGGGCCTGGAGCCTCGGAACCCCCACGTGTGGGGGCCTGCCTGCTTTCGTCCCTTTCTCGACTATGGAGAAGCTGCCTGGAGATTGCGAGCGCTCTGGCTGATGGGGGAGCTAGCGTTGAGCGTGTGCGCGCGCGTGCGGGCTGCGGATCCTCCCTTTTCCATCCCGCACCTACAGCCCAATTGACAGTCCGGCGTTGGGGGCTCCCAGTGCCCCCTTCGCCCAGTGGAGCTTGGTGAGGCTCCTTTATAGTGCGTTTCCCGGCCGTTCCTTACTTTCCCAAACTCTCCCAGGGAGGTGACTGAGAAACTGAATAAGTGACTGAGAAACTGAATAATCCAGCAGGAAGGAGGGGGCTCCAGCCTGGCGGGAACAGAGTCACGCGGTTGCCTAGCCCGACTCGAGACTGAGACGGGAGCCGCGCCACGCGCTTTTGGACAAGGAGGGTGCTGCGTCTCCGCCCCCGGACAATGGAGAGAGCGGAGCACCCGGGCGCATCCCCAGAGCTCATGCCCGGGGAAGGGGCGAGGCCCGGGGCTAGAGAGCTCAGCGTAGCTCCACTTGGCAGCTAAAGAAACAGGCGCCTGGGACGGAAATGACTCCCGCCCGGACACGGCGACAGGGAGAGAAAGGAAAGTGCATCCTTCGCCTGGCAGGTTCGAGCCACTAGCACTTTACTTTCCTTACAGGTGGAGGCGGGCCTCGGTGCGCGGCTGCCCATCTCCGGACCGCCCACCCAGGCACTGGCCCATGTGTCTCCTCCCCCCGAAACGGTAAGCAAATCAGGCGCGGGGGGAAGGGAGAACGTTGCTCCTCGGGCCCCGCCTCCCGATAAGCCCGGAATGTCAAATATTTGTTCGCGGGGCGGGGCGCATCCGCGAGTAAGGCTCCTCCCCCTCCCGCCCTGTAGCGCGCCTGCGCCTGGCTGAGGAGGCCCTTCCTGCGGCCACGCCCTTCCAGACAATTCCCGTGAACCTGTGTCCCTAACCCCCGCAGTCCTAAAGGTCCACTGAAGCACGTCGTTTCCTCCTCGGCTCCTGTCTGGGTTCCACTCCTACAGCACAGAGTCACAGCGTCCCCGCCCGGGGGTCCGGCCGCTACTCGATCTCCGTTTCGTCCCTCCTGGCGACTTCATCTGTGCAGCCTCTAGGCCCTTTTTCCTCTTCAGCGTGAGTCTCGACACCCACTCTTCACGGAAGCCTCCTTCACGAGGTGACCGCTCCGTTGTGGCGTCTCTGGCCGTCCTGAGCGCTTTCCCATAGATGACGCGCTTATGCGTGCCCATGTTGCCGCTGGGTCGTGAACCTGAGGCGCGGGCTGGTAGCGCAGCGCGACTCCCCTAAACTACCCCGAGAGCCCATCCGGCCGGCCCCATAGCAAGACAACTCCTGTCGCTTGGATTCTTTTTATTTTTTATTTTTTTTAATTTTTATTATTCTTTTCTTTAAGACGGAGTTTCGCTCTTGTTGCCCAGACAGGAGTGCAATGGCGCGATCTTGGCTTACTGCAACCTCCACTTCCCAGGTTCAAGTGATTCTCCTGCCTCAGCCTCCCAAGTAGCTGGGATTACAGGCGTGCACCACCACGCCTGTGTTTTTTTAGTAGAGACTGGGTTTCACCATGTTGATCAGGCTGGATGGTCTCAAACTCCTGACCTCAAGTGATACACACACCTTGGCCTCCCAAAGTACTGGGATTACAGGCGTGAGCCCGGCATATTCTATTTATTTATTTATTTATTTATTTATTTATTTATTTTTGAGACAGGGTCTCACTCTGTCACCCAGGCTGGAGTGCAACAGTGCAATCTCTGATCACAGCAGCCTCAACATCCCCGGCGCCCAAGCGATCCGCCCACCTCAGCCTTCCAAGTAGCTGGGACCACAGGCGTGCGCCGCCACGACGCCCGGCTAATTTTTGTATTTTTTGCAGAGACGGGGTCTCGCCATGTTGACCAGGCTGGTCTCGAACTACGCCCACCTCGGCTTCCCGAAGGGCTAGAATTACAGGCGTGAGCCACCGCGGGCCCAGCTCCAACCCTTGGATTCTTCTTTAAAAACCAAATTCGTTTAAATACCGGGCCGGAGGGTGCGGTCCTGCTTTGCTGAGATCCCTTACTTATCTTCAGATGAGTCCTCCCAGATCACCCCATTATTACTAAACAACCCACACTGCTAACCCCAACCGTCCCTCATTGCTTCTTTCTGCCCCCCCCGACCCCCCCAACTTAACCAACTTATAACATGTTTATTAATCGTTTATTGTCTCCCTGCTCCATCATCCCATCCTCGAAGATAGAGACTTACCCCCATTGCCTGTCACTGAATGAATGAACTGTTGTCTAAGGCTAGCTGCTTCTGCCATAGGGTATTTCAGCAATGGTAAGACACAGGCCTTCGCAGTAGGGTCTCATCTGTGTCCTTTCCTCCCCTCCAGTCCTGCCCCTTGTCTAGTTAACCCCAGTTCTTCCTCCAGAATTTTTTTTTTTTTAAGAGTCTGCTCCGTGCCCCAGGTTAGAGTGCAATGGCACGATTCGGCTCACTGCAACATCCGCCTCCCGGGTTGATGCGATTCTTCTGCCTCAGCCTTCCGAGTAGCTGGGACTACAGGCGCACGCCACCATGCTCGGTTAATTTTTATATTTTTAATAAAGATGGGATTTCCCCATATTGACCAGGCTCGTCTCGAACTCCTGACCTCGTGATCCGTCCGCCTCGGCCTCCCAAAGTGTTGGGATTACAGGCGTGAGCCACTGCTCCCGGCCTGCCTCTAGATTTTCTACCTTCCGCAGCAGGGGTCCCCTCTGTAGTTTGAGATTTCTGTACTTCTCTGAAAATTGTCTCCCACCTCCACCCCACTCCTCGCTCCCCTGGGGTTCATGAATTAATGAATAGGAGATTGGTACCGCAGAGAGGTAGGCAAGGCCCAGGCCGCCCGAGGTCAGACGCCTTTCTCAAAACCGCGTGCCAGATATTTGGAAGAAAGGACTTCCGTGGGCCTCATACTCGCAAAATTTTACCCTCACCTTAGCTCTCAGACTTGCCTGGGTTGGACCCCTAAAGGCAGCCGGCGCTGTGGCTGCGGGGACATGAAAGCCCGGGCAGATACAGGGTGTAAGGCGGGAAGTGCGGCGGGTCTCGGGAACCTCCAGGGCGTCTAGGAGCGGTGTGAAAACACCCTCCCTCCTTCCCTTCCCCGCCAGGAAAGATCTCGCAGTGCAAGAGGATTCGACGCTGGGGAACACCGCAGAGATCCACACTTGCCTGCCCAGACCCGTCCCCTCTCTCAGCGACCCTCCTTGAGAGGGTGAGAGCATGGCATGTGGGGGCCACCCCACTAGGCAGCGCGTTGGGCCCCACCTGCTGAGTTGGGATCCCCGCACCTGTGCAGAGTGGCTGCAGAGCACACGCCAGAGGGCGCGCTGACTCCGTTGCTAGAAGCGGAGGGGGAGGGGCGTGCGCTCGAGGTCCAGCAAAGCACCAGGACAGTGGTGACAAAGGGGTCCCCTTGATGCCCCCATCAGGCCAATACCCTCTGGCTTTATTTTTATTTTTATTTTGAGACGGAGTTTTGCTCTTGTCTCCCAGGCTGGAGTGCAATGGCGCGATCTCGGCTCACTGCAACTTCCGCCTCCTGGGTTCAGGCCATTCTCCTACCTCAGTCTCCTGAGTAGCTGGGATTACAAGCGCCCGCCACCACGCCCGGCTAATTTTTGTATTTTTAGTAGAGACGGGGTTTCACCATGTTAGCCAGGCTGATTTCAAACTCCTGACCTCAGGTGATCTGCCCGCCTCCACCTCCCAAAGTGCTGGGATTATAGGCGTGAGCCACTGCGCCTGGCCTATTTTATTTTGTTTTATTTTATTTTATTTTTTTGAGACAGAGTCTTGCTGTGTCACCCAGGCTGATTGCAGTGGCAGGATCTTGGCTCACTGCAACCTCCGCCTCCCGGGTTCAAGCGATTCTCCTGCCTCAGCCTCCTGAATAGCTGAGATTACAGGTGTGCACCACCACGCCTGGCTAATTTTTTGTATTTTTAGTAGAGACAGGGTTTTGCTACGTTGCGCAGGCTGGTCTTGAACTTCTGAACTCAGGCAATCTGCCCGCCTTGGCCTCCCAAAGTGCTAGGATTACAGGTGTGAGCCACCGTGCCCAGCCTTTTATTTTGTATTATTTTATTGAAACGGAGTTTCCCTCTGTCGCCCAGGCTGGAGTGCAGTGGCATGATCTCTGTTCTGGGCTCTTTGCCTCCAGGGTTCTGTTGTGGCTGGATCAGTGTTAGGCCTCTCCTGGCTGCAGGGAGACTGGCTGCAGAGGAATGGGGACCTGCTGAGCCATGAGCTTTAGGGAGATTCCACCAGCCTCTAAATGGACTCAGCTTTGGCCACCAAATGAGCCTGGAAGCCCTGGTCTTAGTTTGGTTGCCTCAAGCCCAGGATCCACCTAGTTCTGGTACAGGAGCTTGGAGCTTAGGACAGCGAGAGGGAGTGCAAAGGGCCCAGTAGCAGGAGGGGTGAAGGGTGTTGGCTGTGTGCTCACCCAAGGAAGATACCACAACTGGACTGGCTCCTCAGTCTCTGGATTTATTCTGTTGAAAAGAGTCAAACTCTGTAAAATATTTGGACACTTTTTTTTTTTTAGATGGAGTCTTGCTCTGTCTCCCAGGCTGGAGAGCAGTGACGTGATCTTGGCTCATTGCAACCTCCGCCTCCCAGGTTCAAGTGATTCTCCTGCCTGAGCCTCCTAAGTAGCTGGGACTACAGGTGCCCACCACCATGGCCAGCTAATTTTTCTATTTTTGTAGAGATGGGTTTCGCCATGTTGGCCGCCAGGCTAGTTTCAAACTCCTGACCTCAGATGATCAGACCTTTAGAAGTTGCGAGACTCTTAATCTTTTCAGGATTGGGAGGGCCTGGAAGAAAAAGAACTAGCTATGTTAATATAATTTCTTTTTTTTTTTTTGAGACGGAGTCGCACTCTGTCGCCTAGGCTGGAGT